AATCACACGACAGCATGATGTGACGTCCGCTTATTTTTTAAATTTATTTTAATTATATATATCATAATCATTTTGTCTGAAAATTTAATCGCTGAATGATCCTTTAAATGAAATTAAATGTGATTGATTATTTTTAATAAAAATTTTAAATTAATTAAAGTTATTTTTAAGTTTTTTAAATCAAATTTAAATTCGAGAATATGATTGGAATAACTATCAATGACATAAAGAAATGATAAATGATAAGAATTTATTTTTTATTTTTTTTGAAATCTTTTAATATTTGTTAATTATTTTAAATTTCGATTAATTTAAAATCAAATCGAATTAAATCTTATAACAAAATATTTTTTTTTAATTTATTTTTTTAATTTATAATACTCAAAATTGATACTTTATTTAAAAAAATTGAATTTTTTATTATTTAGATCAATAAATATTAATTATTTTTTAATTTATTTTAATTTAAGTATGTATACTTTTAAAAAATTGGATATAACTTTGAAATTGGACCAAATTTGTTTCAAAACTTTGGTTAAAGCTTCTAACTTCGTTGGACTGTCATTTTCATTATTTTCACCTTTGGGTTGGTGTGGGCGTATAGCATTCTTGAAGCTTAATTTTCAGGTCAAAAAGTGTGCACATATTCTCGAGTCTCTGCCTGGCATCCCAATATTTAAAAAAAAAAAAGGCATTATCCCTTTATTTTTCTGTTCCTTTTAGCTTTATTTCTTTGACTGTTTACTTAAACTTTAAAGTAAACATGATTTACCTAATGTTATTAAATTGCTTCTTTGATTGTTTATTTAAACTTTAAAGTAAACATGATTTACCTAATGTTACTAATTATAGTAAATTACATTAGTAAACTTTCTGTCTTTAATTAATTACCAAGGAATGATATATGCATCAATGCACAAAACTTTTTTTTTTTTTGTGATTAATAATATCAATGAATTTTTTTGTGAATAAATCTTGTAAATTTACTTAACTTTTTAAAAAGAAAAGATTGTATAAAATCGAATTAAAAAGAAAATATTATATAAAATCAAATTCGAAATTTAATTCAATTAATTTATACATTAATTTAAAAAAAAAAGACATTTACTAAACATAAATTTGTATATGCAATACTTTCTCATATTATGAATTTCTTTGTAAAAATTATATGAAACAATTAAATCGTATTTTCAACCTATTAACGTTTAATGTTGTGTAATGATTTCTAGCATTATGATATAGTTAAAAGAAATATAATTTATTTTTTTTATTTTTAGTACATAATTCCATTATTAATCTAAACATAATTAAAAGAGGCCTATTAGTCAACACAATGTTTTTCATGTTAAAAGGCTAGATTGAGAATGTCATAAAAGGGACCCTTTAACTTCAAGATTGTAAGGCAGAATGAGAAAGAAATCTTGTATATCAAGAAATGCAAAATTGGCCATAAAAAAAAAAAATCCTACGATCCCAAATTAAATTTTTAGCAAAATTTATCAATTTTTATTATTATAAATAGTAAATTATCATGGATAATGTGGGTAATTAAAAAATATTGAAGGGAATAAACGAATCTTCACATTGCACATTGCAATTAATTATATGAACAAATTAAATTAATTTAAAAAAATAAAAAAGAGGGACAAATTAACAAACAATGAATCTAACACAAACCTTATATTATATGATTGATTATTGTTTTTAGTGGCAGCCAGCTATCTATTGCCGACAATTGTAGACTGGTTTAGTCAAATATGTATCAAATCAACATACGAAATGGAACAATCATCATTAATGTAAAGTATATCAACATTTTTTTTTTTGACAAATGGATGGATTTTTCTTTAGGAAATTTTAAGCCGTCACGTTCTATGTACTACGTGGATCTTTTTTTAGCCAAAATGTACAACATGGATCTGGGTTATAATCTAAATTATTTAGAAATCAAACTAATGAATAAATAATTTCCTCAGATCTCTAAATAATTTTGTTTGGTTAATGTTAACAAAAAAAATAGGACAAATATAATGTTATAATTTGATGCGTGACACTCGAATATTTGATTTAAATTCAAATTAAACACAATTCAAAACCCTTTCACCAATAAAAATAAATGTGATACGATGAAATAAATTAAGATACAATATTAATCAAAAGCAAAATCGGATCGAATATGACTGGCATGCATGTGAGAAGCAGTGGGGCAAAGTTATATGGTTTGATGCTGATATGTAGATCCATATATATAGGGCCAATAATCTTCAATTATTATTTAATTATGGTTTTAATTGCATGTTAATTCACTTAAGGAAGCAATAAACCAGGGGTGGTCACGTTTTTGTCCGGTTTTAGGGTTTAAAAGGGACTTTCCCAACTTTTAAAATTCCAAATTTAAATCAATTTAAGAGAGATTTTGCTGTTCTATTTACAAGCACATGATTTTAATTTTTTATTTGAATAATTCCAAAAAAAATTAAAATCAGCTTTTTCCATGTGCATGCATCTGCATGAATAAAGTAAAGAAGATTAACCTTCGTAGAAAAATCCAAGACATCAACGACTAAGAACAGTTGATCGGATTAATCAAAACCAATAATTGTTTTCATTGATGAAATATCAATCTTGTATTCTACGTATTAAATTTAATCGAATCTCTTTATTATCAAGTTTAACATATCCAATTTAAAATGTTTGTATTTTCGGTTTTTAAAATTTTTTTATTACTACAAAAGGTAGGGTAGAAACCTTATCATACACAGGGTGAATTACTGTAATTAGGTCTCGAATTTTATTTTATTACGATTCGAATCCAAGATCTTTTGCACTTGAACTAATCTCCAGATTTCATAATTTTGGAGTTCCTTTGATTTATGGAAGCTCATGGTTAATAACCTATAGCTGACGATATGATACAAGCTGCCAGAAGATAATTTGTGCAGGGTAAGGTCACTTTGTAATGCAATGAAAATGTATGTGATGAAAGTAAAACCATGATGTAATAAAAACCCATAATTGCTTAAAACAAGATGTATAAAAAGGATAAGAAATTGATGATCTAAAAATGTTTGATATATTTGCAGAAAGGAGAAGAAAAAAAAAAAAAGGCAAAAGGAGCAGACAGTGTTAGGTGAAGATGACTTGAGCATTTAGTTGTACAATAAAGCTGTGCCAAGTTTGCTACCCATATTGATATTTTTGGAATGATAGAGTTGGATGAAAGTGGTCCTTTGATGACTTCAACATGACTTGTTACTATATTTAATAATTTTTTTCCTTTTATTTGCCTTCGTTACTGTATGATTCCCCCACATTATAACCATTGAAAAGGACAATTTTTCCACCATCTTCTTTTTTTTTTTTTTTCTCTTCTTTACTGTTTTACACTTTTTTTTTGGATGTATCTATTTATTTTAAATAAAATATTTATAAAATACAAAAATTATCATATCATAATTTATATTAATACATTAAATATTTTTTTAATTTTTACCAAATTCAAGTATAAATTATAGTAAAATTTTAAATTATGTTATTTTTAAAAAAAAATTTATCATCAAATCATATTTAAATCACTCAATCTACCTTCTTCCAAAGTCATGGACAATGTTTCCATATATTCCTTTAAGACATAGGCCCCTACAACCCTAATCAACCTTTAACACACACTCTAAATTAGACTTTTCAAAGGTTTTTCATCACACGGCATTGACTCTACAAGAGAAGAAAAATACAGGGAGAGACACTCTCTGAGGATATGAACAAAATGGCCTGATTTTGCTTCATTTGTCTTCTTTTTTTTTTTCTCGACAATGGGGATTTAATTTGTGGATGACATGACATGAATTGATCTAGATTTGGGTATTCTAACCACATTACATAATAAAAATTAGGCCTTAATTACTCTGACAGGACATTAATTACCCTAATTTCTTCATTATCATGTTGATCAATCTGACAGCTAATTTATGTAACACATAAATCTAGCTTGGGAGTACCTTGAAAAGTTGACTTTCAAGCCATTCAGCTTTGCATGTTTCGTAATCTAAAAAAAAAAAATTAAAAGATATTGTTGATTTATATGTATCATTTTGACATTTGTCTCAAAATGTAAGAAATCATTCAAATTTTATTCTTCCAAAAATGAAATTGTATTGTACTCGAATAAATTGATTCAATAATTGATGTACAATGTCGGTTCGAATTTTCTTTCTTCGAAAATGGATTTGAATTGTCAGAAAAACACGATCACCAAAGAAAAATTATGGCATTGAAGAAGTAAATTTTGAACAGATTTTAAGGGGTGGTCCAAAAGGAGGTACAGTAGCTGAATTTTAGGACAGTGGGGACATGGCTGCTCTTGTTGTAAGAAACTTGAATCATTATTTCTTGCACGAAAATGAAATTCAACACCAATTAATTGCTATTATTTTTTTCTCTTTTAACAGCCTCTTTTTTCTTTTTTGTTTGTAGCTTAAATCTCCTGCACAAGCTGCAGGGCCACTTGATTGAATTTCACATGGCATTGCCTCATAATTGAGAAATCACATGGAATATGAGAAAGAGATACATAAAAAAAAAACCAGTTCCAATTAAAAAATTAAACTCTTCCAATTAGTGAAGGGATGGTGACAATAGACATGCATTTATTTGTTATAAACGTGCATTTTTTTTAGAATAAAAAATCTTATCAGAAATAGCACCGAAACCAGAAATTTTCTAAATAATAGCATAACAAGTGGCCTCAATAATCTCTTTTGGAGTTTACCTCCATACTTTTTTTTTTTTTCTATAATTGATCATAGCAAAAATTATTTAATTTTTTAAAAAATAAATTTTTAATAATAAAAATTATAAGTATTAATATTTAAAATTTAAATTTATTGAATGATATTATTTTATAAAAATAACGGTATGAATTAACTGAATTAATCGTTAATTCTTAAAAAGTAATTTATGTAAATATAAACTGTCTGTCTTTTGACTTTGATCTCTTCCTACAGTTTTAGCCATTTTTGTCAACTGAAAATTGCTTATGTTTTGGACATCAAATGTTGAAAATTAGAACTGGAAAGGGAATATTGGAAGCTGTCATGTGAATGCAGGTAGCAGAACCAGCAAATTCATGGTAAAAATATAGCAGAAGCAGCAGCCTATTATACACCTTTTGTTTTCTTCTTTTTTTTTTTTTTCTAAAGTTGTTGGAAAGAGTTATGAATTATTCTATGTCTCTTACTGTTCCTGAAAAGATGCTGGAAATGGGAAATTTCTAAATCATGAAGATCTAAAAAAACTTTTGATTAAAATTTTTTTTGATTATAGACAGCTAGAGAAAACCCCAATTTGCTAAATTAATTTAATCAAAATCAATTTGAGTTGGTCCCTTCTGACAGCTCTCCATCAACGACTGTTTCTATTATATATACTCTCCATTTCGTGCAGGCTTTAACTCAGCTGACACCATTGAAGCCAAAAACAAACCACTTTCCCCTTCTCTTCCAAACAGGGAAACTCTGAGAAAATCTAACTACATTGGCTAAGGGTGGTGTTCGTCAGTGATAATCCATGATGGTACGGCGGGGCGACCCGGCGGGGGGTCGGTTTTGGCCCCAAATGTTAGTGGCTTTGGCCATTGTTGTTGTTGCAAGCAATGTAGGTTCTGTGTCTGCTGATGCTTATCCATACTCATCACCTCCACCACCTTATGAGTATACGTCACCTCCACCACCATCTCCTTCTCCACCACCACCTTATGAGTATAAATCTCCACCACCACCACCACCTTATGAGTACAAGTCTCCACCACCACCACCAAAACATGAAGAGAAGCCCCCGTATTACTACAAATCTCCACCACCTCCATCTCCATCACCACCTCCTCCATACTACTATAAGTCTCCTCCACCTCCATCTCCATCCCCACCTCCTCCATACTATTACAAGTCTCCACCACCACCACCAAAGCATGAAGAAAAGCCTCCATATTACTACAAGTCTCCTCCACCTCCATCCCCATCACCACCTCCTCCATACTATTACGAGTCTCCACCACCACCACCAAAACATGAAGAAAAGCCCCCGTATTACTACAACTCTCCTCCACCTCCATCCCCATCACCACCTCCTCCATACTACTACAAGTCTCCACCACCACCACCAAAACATGAAGAAAAGCCTCCATATTACTACAAGTCTCCTCCACCTCCATCCCCATCACCACCTCCTCCATACTACTACAAGTCCCCACCACCTCCATCTCCATCCCCACCTCCTCCATATTACTACAAGTCTCCACCACCACCAAAGCACGAGGAGAAGCCTCCTTACTACTACAAGTCTCCTCCACCTCCATCTCCATCACCACCTCCTCCATACTACTATAAGTCTCCACCACCACCACCAAAACACCCATACTACTACAAGTCTCCACCTCCACCACCAAAACACCCCTACTACTACAAGTCTCCACCTCCACCACCAAAACACCCCTACTACTACAAGTCTCCACCACCTCCTCCACATTACGTCTCACCACCATACTACTACAAATCTCCACCACCACCAGCTAAGTCGCCTCCTTATTATTACACTTCTCCCCCACCACCAACTCCTTACTACCCTCACCCTCACCCTCACCCTTACCCTCACCCCCACCCCCATCCACTCATAGTCAAGGTGGTTGGTAAAGTTTACTGCTACAGGTGCTATGACTGGAGTTATCCAGTGAAGTCACACGACAAGAAACATCTTAAAGGTGCAATTTTCTTATACCTTTCCAATTTTTCAGTTTCAAACTTTAATGCATTATTAATTGATCTATTTTACATTTGCATGTTTATTAGCTTTCCATTTTAATTTGTTACTTTCAAATTTTTGTGGAATTTTGTCATATGCTCTAGAAGTTAACATCAGACGTCTTGAATATTTTAATTTAATTTGACGAAAATGCAATAATTGTTTGAAAACAAAGCTTGTCTTTAAATCCAAAAATTAACTTAATTAATTCATAAAATTATCTTAAAATCGCATTCAATAGTTTTGATAATCAAATTATAACCCTTAAGACTTTTTCTCGTGTTTACAGGGTGTGACTTCCTTTTTTAAAAATGTTGCTAATATTTTTTATCTAAATTAATTATAACAATAATGTTTGTCCATATAATATTTTTGTATAGTTTAGTTGATAAAATATACTATATATATATATATATATCAAATTGCTAGATCAAATCATTAGTGAGAGAATAATTTAAGTAGAAGCTTTATATTCAAATCATATTATTTTCATAATTAAAAAATAAAACTTGATTGATTATAATCTTTCTTTGCCCATTTTGCTATACAATGTGGATCAGATTGTAATCATGGAAGGAAAATATAGTTTTCCTTATTAAGGTCTGCACTATGTACTATTGCACAAGTCATGAACACTGAGTCATATGTCTTGATAAAATTTTGTTTAAAAAAGTTTGAATTAAATTAATTCATGGAAAGACAAAATTAGTTATTAGAGTTGGTGATGACTGAAAAATATGTTGTTTGACTTTTTTAGCAACAATTGATAAGTTTTCATTGTTGTTCATGGATTAGGTGCCGTTGTGGAAGTGACTTGCAAGGTTGGAGAAAAAGAGATCATTGCCTATGGAACAACCAAAATCAATGGCAAATTCAGCATTGCAGTTGAAGGATTTGACTATGCCAAATATGGAGTCGAGGCATGCAAGGCCAAGCTCCACGCCCCACCCAAGGGCTCACCGTGCAACATTGCCACCAGCCTTCATTGGGGCGACAAGGGTGCCAAGCTCAAGGTGAAGTCAAAGGACAAGTACGAGGTTGTGCTTGAGGCTAAGCCATTTGCTTATGCTCCAAAGACTCCTTACAAGGAATGTGAAAAGCCAAAGCCTAAGCCTCCAGCTCCTTACTATTATACTTCTCCACCACCACCATCTCACCCGCACAAGCCACCCCCGTACTATTACAAGTCACCACCTCCACCATCACCTACCTACGTATACAAATCACCACCACCTCCAACTCACCCATACAAGCCACCACCATACTACTACAAGTCACCACCCCCACCAGCTCCCACTTACATCTACAAATCACCTCCACCTCCAACTCATCAACCGTACAAGCCACCACCATACTACTACAAGTCACCACCCCCACCAGCTCCCACTTACATCTACAAATCACCTCCACCTCCAACTCAACCGTACAAGCCACCACCGTACTACTATAATTCACCACCTCCACCATCACCAACCTACGTATACAAATCACCACCACCTCCAACTCACCCTTATAAGCCACCACCGTACTACTACAAGTCACCACCCCCACCAGCTCCCACTTACATCTACAAATCACCTCCACCTCCAACTCACCCTTATAAGCCACCACCGTACTACTACAAGTCACCACCCCCACCTCCTCCAAAATACTACTACAAGTCCCCACCACCCCCTCCAACTCTCCCTTACAAGCCACCACCGTACTACTATAAATCACCACCCCCACCAACTCCCACTTACGCCTACAAATCACCACCACCTCCGGCTCATCCCTACAAGCCACCACCATACTATTATAAGTCACCACCTCCACCATCACCTACTTACATTTACAAGTCACCTCCACCTCCACCATACTATTATAAATCACCACCCCCACCACCTCCAAAATACTACTACAAGTCCCCACCTCCTCCAAAATACTACTACAAGTCCCCACCACCCCCTCCAACTCTCCCTTACAAGCCACCACCGTACTACTATAAATCACCACCCCCACCACCTCCAAAATACTACTACAAGTCCCCACCACCTCCTCCAACTCTCCCTTACAAGCCACCACCGTACTACTATAAATCACCACCCCCACCAACTCCCACTTACGCCTACAAATCACCACCACCTCCACCATCACCTACTTACATTTACAAGTCACCTCCACCTCCACCATACTATTATAAATCACCACCCCCACCACCTCCCACTTACATCTACAAGTCACCACCTCCTCCAAAATACTACTACAAGTCCCCACCACCACCAACCCCCACTTATGTTTACAAGTCTCCACCGCCTCCACCATACTACTACAAATCTCCACCACCACCACCGGTCCATTCTCCACCCCCACCATACTATTACAAGTCACCACCACCACCTTCTCCTTCACCACCCCCACCATACTACTACAAGTCCCCACCACCACCAGAACACGAAGAGAAACCCCCATACTACTACAAATCTCCACCACCACCATCGCCATCTCCTCCTCCACCCTATTACTACAAATCACCTCCACCTCCTTCTCCCTCTCCTCCACCCCCATATTATTACAAGTCTCCTCCACCACCAGTCCATTCCCCTCCACCACCATACTACTACAATTCACCACCACCTCCAGTAAAAGCTCCAGCACCAACCTACCACTACAACTCCCCTCCTCCACCATCACCATCTCCTCCTCCTCCCTACTATTACAAATTCCCACCACCTCCATCTCCCTCTCCACCTCCGCCATACTACTACAAATCTCCACCACCACCAAAACACGAAGAGAAGCCCCCATACTATTACAAGTCCCCTCCTCCCCCATCGCCATCTCCTCCTCCGCCATACTATTACAAGTCCCCGCCACCACCAGTCCACTCTCCACCCCCATACTATTACAAGTCTCCACCACCGCCATACTACTACAACTCTCCACCACCACCTGTCCATTCCCCTCCACCTCCATACTACTACAAATCACCACCACCTCCTTCACCATCTCCCCCACCACCATACTATTACGAATCACCACCACCTCCAGTAAAGGCTCCAGCTCCAACCTACCACTACAACTCCCCTCCTCCACCATCACCATCTCCTCCTCCCTACTACTACAAGTCTCCACCACCACCAAAACACGAAGAGAAGCCCCCGTACTATTACAAGTCCCCACCCCCACCTTCCCCATCACCACCACCTCCTTACTACTACAAATCCCCACCTCCTCCATCCCCCTCACCCCCTCCCCCATATTACTACTACTCACCTCCGCCACCAGTGAAGTCACCCCCACCTCCGGTCTACATTTACGCTTCTCCTCCACCACCAACTCACTACTAGGTCCGGAAAGATCAACCACAAAATTACAACGTACATGTAAGTAATATTTTAGTTAAAGCTGCAGTTAATTAGAAATTATCATCTGATAGTTAATTTCATATTCTAATTCATTGTCCATACTAAAATTTCAGGTTCTAGTTTCACCAGAAGAATAAAGGAAGGCACCAAGAAGGGGAGATTTGGACATCAACATATTTCCTTTTCAAGTCCATTGAATAAGGGTCTGAACATCGCATTTGAAAGCTACAATTTTGGTAATCCAGGCCAGATCACTTCCACTTCTTTGGCGGCCATGTTACACATGCTCTTAATATGTTGTAGTGTCATCGATCGAAAGAAAGCGAGAGTGATTTTCCCAAGTGTCGATTGTAGTCTGTTTTTCATTGTTCAATACCATTTTTAAATTATTGGTTTCACCTAATTTATTTGTGTATAAAACTGTGGCCTTTGTATGATTATCTATTTATTGTGGGCATGCGTTTGGGATTTCGTGGATCTTTGTTGTACCATGTGCGCTGAGATTGTTAGCAATAAAATATATTTCTGTCCCCATGTTTTCCTCTTTATAATTATTTCTCTTTTTCTCTTCCCTCTCCAATGCAAATTGCTTCGTAACGACAGCTTTGCTCTGATCTTTTGGACCAAATCTAGCTGTCTCTAGGTAGAGTTGTCTCTTGCACATTCTTTTTTTTTTTTTGTTATAAGGAAATTGTAATATGGGATAAGATAAATATTGTAAGTATTAAAATTTAAAAATTAAATTTATTGAATGTTATATTTTAAAAATAATTATATAAATTAATTAAGTTAAATTCAAATTTTAAATCCAACTTAATCAACCAAAATTTTACTACTGCTTATTTCCTTTTCAAGCAAAGGAAACTCTGGGACAGTAATGGCTTAAATCAAAAGCATCCATCTCCACCGACTTGTACATACCAGCACTAGGACGGTTGAATTCCTCAATTTTTAAAAACTTAAATGAAGAATTTCTCAATTGAATTTTAAATACAAAAGGAGAGCAGAAATTAGTTAATAATTACATGATTTATTGATAAAATACTAAATTTTTAATTTTAATAGTTGATCAAATTCATTTTCTAATAACTTTAAATGGCAAATTTCTATCTAGTTGCCACGACAGGATATATGAACTCAGCTTTGATGGAGTGAGATACAATGCCTTTGTGCTTGTGGCCAGCATATACCAAAATAATATAACTACATCTTATCTATATATCTCTCTGTCTCTGCACTGTAATTTCTACTCTAACTTTACCAGTTGTTTGTTTCTCAGTCTCAGTTGGATTGCAGCTTTTTCACAATATAATTATTGCTTATAGCACCTTCTTCCAATCTGCCTTCTATCTTTGCAAAAGTGCCAGCAAACAAAAGAAAAAGGGCAAATAATTAATCTTCTCTTCTTCTTTTTTAAACCATGCCAATTTTGTCTCTTTGTTTCTTGAATTTCCCATTTGCTGTAATTGGCAAGCTGTAATGCTCATTAGATATATATAGCCATCATGATCGTGCTCTTATATCTATCAATCAAAAAAAAATTTATATGTTTTGGGCTATGATTTTGATTTTAAAACGAGAATTTCAGTTTTGAAATCGATTTCAATATTACCAAATTAGTAACTTGATTTATCATTCAATTTAAAATAAAAAATAATTACTGAATATTAGGGTCCAGGGGAACTGATAGATATGCTTCATTAGGTGGAATATTCTATGACAAGAGATCTTATTGGAACTCACTGGATTGAGCATCAATTCAACATTAAAGGTGTAAATTAAAAAAATTAAGCTATTGGTGAGCTACTTGATTAATTATATTCGTTCTTCATTGATTCAAACAAGAACCAATTCAAATCGAATTTTGAGATTCATACAATCTTTTTTTTAAGCTTTTGATTTCTTTTCAATATTCTATACTTAATTGAAATTATATAATTATTAATGTACACATTTTTATAATGATAAATGAGTTGATTAACTTTTTTTTTTAACCAAATTGGAATAAAAAATTAAAAATAATTATATTATGATTTAATATACCAAAGAAACACATGATTCTTTACAGGCTGCTCATCACCTTCTTATACAGGACCACTTTAACTAGGATGAAATATATCAAAGTTGGATCTATACTCTTTTGTCATGTCACCTTTAATACATTGCAATTCTTTACTTTTTTTTTAAAAATTTTTTTTTGAGCCAAAAGATTCGTTCTCATCATTTTACTTTGAATTAAGAATTGGATATGATACTGCATTCATGCAACAATGATAACCAAATGGCAATTAAAAAGAGCTCCCAAAAAAAAAGAAAATAGTGGGAATCTTTCGTCGGGAAAAACGTCAAACATGTCAGTGATTTGAATTGGAAGAAAACAAAAACATATCCCTCGGTTTTAATAATCAATCAGATTCATAAATTGTTACTTGTCATATAGTTAATCGTGATTAATTAGTTGTATAAGCGACCAATGAGACATACTCCGTTACAATGAAGATTCCGCTGTATTATAAATGAGCCGTTAGCTTAATCACATTGAAGTCGATTTTAAAATTGGGGATCTCGAAATTAAATTTTAATTATAATCCAAAAAATAATAGTATGTCTTAAGTTCTCAATTTCCAGCTATAATATTTTTTTAATTGATCAATATTCAACTTTATCACATAAGATAAAGTATTTAAAATAAAAGCACCAACTAAGTAACATTGCATTACTATAAAAAAATAATTAGGTGATTGTACAAACTGATAATTTATTAGGAACAAAATAGTACTAAGTCCATTTTCTTCTTGAATTAGTTGTAACCAAAAAACCAAAGGATAAAGTTTGGTGATGGGGTCTTGGATAAGATGTCTTTTATTATAGTAAATAGTGATTAATTCAATTTAGTTAAATTTATTTTTTTTATTAAAAAAATTTTAAATTTAAATTTTATCGATAATCATTTATTAAAATCATTTCAAATATATAATTTATAATTATTTATCTTAAATTATTAAATATGATATAATTTATTTTGATATGAAAGATTAAATAATATATTTATCTCGTTTTTTTTTAAATAGTTACCTATGGGAATATTCGAGGCCTATAGGAGAATATTATTGGTTGAATTAACCCCATAAATAATGAAAAAGGAAAGTAAGTTTTGGTGGAGGGGTTGGACTTAGTGCAATGGAACTTCAACAAGAAACTTCCCTTTTGTTTTATTGATTCGGGGAAAAGGAAGAAATGGCCAAAGCCTTAAGTGAAGCAGGTAAAGCAGCTAGCTGGGAAGTCATTTTCACTATCATTATCATCATCACCGTCACCATCACCTCACCATCACCGACAAGTCCAAAGTTGAAAGAGAGAAATTAGGAGAGTCATGAACCCACATCCACATGCAAAAGTGATTCCTTTGTCTCTTTTGGCAGCTTCTTTGATTTAATCCCTTCGTTGGAGTGTCCAACTTGTTTATCCTTTTGAAAAGGGTCCCATCATGGCCAAATGGTTTAGCTTCTTTGATTTAATCCCTTCGTTGGAGTGTCCAACCTGTTTATCCTTTGAAAAGGGTCCCATGATGGCCAAATGGTTTAGCCTCCTTTATAATTCTCTCCATGAGGATTTTTTTTTTATAATAGAAGATCATGATCATGTGGATCAAATTATTATTTTTGGATGATTTTAATAATACATTTCTTTTACATTTAAAATTTTATTTTTAAAATATTTTTCACAAAAATCAATATCAATCAACAAAAAATAAAAAAAATTTTTAGCAACTGGACTAATACTTGTGTGTCAGTTTCATAATTTTATTCATCTTAACCAACACTCCATTGAAAAAAAAAGTTATGTTATGAATAATCTTCAAACTATAGTAAATTATTTAATATAATGTTTAAATTTTAAAAATATTTAATATATTATTTAAATTATAAATTTATTAATTAAAATAATTATTATATGTAATGTGATTAATATTAAATAATAATATATAATACATAAATAATTTTCGATCATATTTGATATAAAAGATATAATAAAATAAAATAATATTATAAATAAGATTAAATAAAATAATATCATTTTATTTTGTATATGATATATGTAAGGATTAAGATAAAATAATTTATTTATTTATCAAAATTATCTTTCAAAATTTATATAATTTAAATTATTAATATAATTTTTAAATATATAATTAAACATATAAATTTAATCTTATAGATTAAAAATAATTCTTTCTATTTTGGGAGGATTATATAATCCAATGCTAAGAGAATATTAATTTTTCTTATAATCTTTATCTTTCTCTTTACATGTAAATTAAATATGATATAAGATAATTATTATCTTATCATAACAGTAATTTTATACATCAAATATAATTTTTAAATATTATATTAATTAATAAATTTATAATTTAAATATTATATTAAAATTTTTAAATTTATATAATGAATTATTCGTAAAATTAACTAAAAAAAACCAGCATTAAAACAAGTTGTCTCCCAAAGACTAATCTTCGATGGCTTTTCGCAATCTTGTTTTGTCCATTATATATAATTACAACGAACAAGGAAATGGATAAGAGTTTTGTAGGACATCCCATAATTTTCTTTTGTTTTTAAAGGGCAAAAGCTGTTGGATATCAGAATCACGATGAGTGTGATCACTTCAGCAGCCACAACAGTGCTCTGTGATTTGTAAATTTTCCGCATCTCATATAAACATGTATCAAGCCAAAAAAAATCCGACATTTTTTAAGCTAATGATCAAATAAAGTGGGCATGTCTTTTGATAGACAATCATGAAATAGAGATGCTTTTTTTTTTTATATATATATAGTAATATTAATATGCAAAACATGATGTTACATTTGAGGATTTGCCCTTGATTTTGTGATAAGTAGTGACTTGTGGGAGAATGCAAAGGTCATTCATGTGGAGAAGACAAACAAATCTGATGCTATGGTTAATGGGTCTTTTTGAAAATTTTGTATATAAAAAGTGAATTTGAACATTAGATTTTAATTGTTTTTTAAATGTTCTTGAAAAATAAGAAATGTAATTTTAAAATCATTCGAAAAGGGATTAAATTCAGATAAAATTTTATTTAAAATTTTTTAGATGATGTCATAAATAAATAGTTCGTGATGTAAATTTGATGAATGAATTTTTTTTTAATTATGAAACTAAGAGCATGTTTCTGTTTGGCAATGCTATCGGAATCATTTGATTTATTTTGATCACAATCCTAATGTTAAATAAAATAAATTTTGTAATAAAAAATTTTGATTATAATTAATATTTTCTAAATTGTATAAGAGAATAGGTCTATTTGTATCTGGTTCCATTGTAATCAATTGAATTTGATTGCAAATACAATGCAAAATAAGATAAAATTCATGATAAGAAATTTCAATTACAATGAATTTATTCTTAATCACAAAAGCAGGCTCGTTTGATATTACAGTTTAAAACAATTTAAAATTGATAGAATTGTAGATATTATGATTTTTTTAAAAATTATAATTATAATAAAATATTATATTTATGTAATCAATTGAATAATTAATTATTTCATCATAATTAACTTATAATTATTAAATAATTACCCAACAAATTAAAATATAATTAGATAACTAAGCAACTAAATCCATATACAATTTAACTTGAACTTAAGATTTAGAATTCAACGAATTCCTCTTTATTATTAAATCAAAGTTTTATTAATTGTAAATGTTATGATTTGAATTTAAACTTATTGAGTGATATTTTATGAATTAATTAAATTAAAATTTGAGTTTATTAAAATCATCGATTTTGATTGCAAACTCAGTACCGAACAAAATAAAATTTATCATAAAAAAATTTTTTTTTCAATCACTGTTTTTTTCTTTTTGAAACTGCAATGCCAAATTGGACTCTTAAATTTGGCCCAAATTTTAGACCCAAGATTGGAATTCCAAATGAAAATTTGAAAGTGAGATTGGGCTGGGTTTTGCTGAATTTGGTCACATGTACTAATCCTTCGGAGATTTTTGGGCTTTTTCATTTTGGGATCTAAAACTTTTTTCTGTTTTCGTTTAAGCCCAAAATAATTTGGTTCTTCCACAAATAGGTAAAAGAAATCAAAGGAAAAGAAAATTTCGATCTTCCTTCTTTAGGCTTTGCTTCTTCTCCAACCTCAGCTGGAAAAAAAAAAGAAAAGAAAAAAAGAACTGCTTAAAAACATATTTTCCTTTTCTTTCGTTTTGTCGAACTTTCCCTTCTTCGTTTTTTTTTTAAATTTTTTTTCAATCAAAATCAATTTTTTTTCTTTTTTGGGTAAAAAAAAAATTTCCTTGTCATATTAAATCGAATTCTGATCGCCATGGTACGTTCTCTATTTAGCTTTTAATTTTTTTTAAAATTTTTTAAGTATGATCTATCCTTAACAGCTAATAGAATTGGGAAATTGGAATAAAACAAAATGTTAAAAAGTTGAACTTTTTCAATGTTAATTTTAGATGATTTATTAATTTTTAGGTAAATTCATTTATGTCATATTTACTTTACAATTTTGTAATATGCAAAGATATGGATGTTATTGTCTTAAACATAATATTTCAAGTTTTTGTTATCTTTTAGGATCATATGGCTTTTGATTTTCCAAGCAACTAACTAATTTGAAAGGGTAGGTATAGGGTTGGAATCTTATTGTTAGTGGACTTAGAACCCTAATTGTTTGGTTTTATGGTTTAGGTTACATCTTGCTCGTATTAATCTTGCTTCTAGGATTGCATAGCTTTTTTTTTTCTTGATAGTTGATCCTAATCTTAAAAATTTTTACTATTGTTTATGAATTTGGAATTTGGGTTTTTGATTTTGCATACAACTAATGTAATTTGAAGTGATAGGTGTAGGGTTGGACTCTTGTGGGTGGATTTAGAATCTGAATTGTTTTTCATAGTGGCTTTAGGTTACATGTTGTTTGAATTCCTCTATTTATTAATCTGTTCTTAATTTTGATGTTATAGGGTATAACTTTTTCCATTACAACAGTTTATTGTAGCTTGTTTTTTCTTGATAGTTGAACCTCAGCTTCTTTTGGCATAATTTTTTGTTGTGATAGATTGAAAGGGAAATGAATTTTGAATGAGTATTTTGAATGTTATGTTTCATATTTATTTTATTTTTAGGAATTTAAATGCATCTCTATTCTCAAAAGAGTCTAGTTACATTAGGCTTTACTTAGTTGGGGTGCTTAGTTTTCCCAAACCACCAAATTCAGCATTAAAGTGAATACCTGTTAGATTTGATTTTGTTAACATCCTTATTGTACAGAGATAAAAAGAGATCATGTTGTACAAGTTCATTCCCAGTTATTGCCATGACATTGTGAAATTATAAGTGATACAAGTGTGATGAGAACGCATTTTAATAAAATGTCGAGATACTCATTCCAAGCTAGTATGTTTAAGCAATATTTCTTCTGATTCTTTGGCCCTATTGTATAAATTTGTGGATTGCTGCTAAGAAGTGACTTGTTTAAACTTGAAAGAGCTGGAAGGATAAGATAGAGGTGAAAATACCCTACATTGAACCATGAAATGAAACTTTTAAAGAATCAATTCTAGATAATATTAAACTTTTTACAAGGTTTTATAAAGTTCGCATTCAGCTTGGCTGAGCTGCCTTGTGTTTCTTTTTGTTTTAATTCAGATTTGAAATACTGTCCTCTTTCTTGATAAGTCTATAGATCAAAGAGAGACGGTTGCTATGGATGAGTGTAAAATTGTTATATTTACATTTTATTGTTATACTCTTTTACTTTGATGGTGTTTTCATTCTTTCTCTCTTATCCATATATCCTTTTATGTAGGCTGCAAAGATTATTGCCAACTTAATTGTGATGGGCTCAGGCATATTGGCTCGGGCTGTTGTTCAGGCATACCGTCAAGCACTTACAAGTTAGTACATCACTGCACCATTATTATTCAATTCTTTTTTTTTTTTACTTTGCTTGAAAAGTAGGAGCTTGCTTTTATTAATCATGATGAAGATATTGTCTTAAAAACAGTACAGTTGTGCGCTGTAATCATTTTAGTAGACTCCACTTACTGGGAAAAGGCTTTGTTTTGTTTGTTGTTGTTGTTGCTTGCTTACTGTTGTGTATTTTAAACTGTGCATTGACTTTCTTCAATCATAATGCCTCTTCTATTTGAGGTTATGGAAGTTTTGGCTCTTGTAATAATAGAGTTTTGAGGTCAGGATAATGAAAAGAGACAGGGATCAACTAGTACAATGTGCTTAAAACTGTGAGACGATTATATTTGTCAGTGGAAGGTCTTGCGTTTGCTTTACATGCATCAATCTTCTGAACGGTAAGTTTATTGCAGATGCTGCCAAATCCGGTGTTGCCCAGGAGACACTACAAAATGCAGCCCGTAGGGCTGGCAAAGTCATGACGGAGCAAGAGGCCAGGCAGATTCTTGGTGTAAGTGAGGAGACTGCTTGGGAGGAGATAATCAAGGCTAGTATTTTTGTACTCCCTTTTGTCCCTGCTTCGGTTACTTTCGTCTTGAGCAAGTTTTAAAACTTCTTCCATTACTTTATTGCAGAAGTATGACAATTTGTTTGAGAAGAATGCCAAGAATGGGAGCTTCTACCTACAGTCAAAGGTTCATAGGGCTAAGGAGTGCTTAGAGTCTGTCTATCAAAGCAAAGGGGAAGGCACTCCGCCTAGTTGAGAATCCATCAAGGTTTGCTAATTGCACATAGAGACACCTGTTTATATACTAATTCTAGTATGATGAATGATCTCAAAGATTTAAATAGTACGTATCGGCTCTTCTGCTTGTTCGTTTTCTGGATTCAAACACTTACTAGAATTTTATGTCGTCAATGTTAAATTAGTTGAATGGCTGCAAATAATAACTTATTTTTGGATAAGTTGTGATTTCATTATGGAAGAAGCAGTAAAAGACTGCCACCAAATGATAGTTATAAACAACATCAATAGCAACAAATCAGGAAACTACAATACAAACATATAGCTTCTTAGCTTCAATACAAACATATACACATTTTTTAACCATTGATTTTAATAGATCCAAGAGATGAGATTCATTAGAACCCAGTAATCTGTCTTCCTCTTGAATCCATCTAATCTTGGATTTCTGCCTCAGCCAACAGTCCTCAGCTTGAAGTAGTTCATGGAGCCCTAGAGAAAACTTGCTTTCCTTTTCAGCATCTGCAGTAGGAGATTGGGATAAAATAGCAGTTTGAACAGCTGCTATCTCAGCTTTCTGAGCTTAAACTTTCTTTGATAAATCACCAAATTGCGAGAAGTTAATTTCCTCAATACCAATTTCAACCTTTTGGGTTTCCTATGCAAAATGGCCATAGGATTCCCACTCATTGGGAACTTCCAAGATTCTTCAACCAGCTTCAAAAACTCATGATGCTTCCACCAAAAAGTGAAGAACTTAAATGGCTTTGTTGGAGACTAACTTGGCACATTCATCTTGACCAAGGCTGGGCTGTGATCAGAGACTTAGGAAGGTAGAAATTCAGCAGTAGAATATGCTATCTGAATAAACCTAAGAATGGTCCATAATTGCCAAATCATGCATACAGGAACTCCTTAGTATTAGTGCCAGCAACTTGGACGCCATCATAATCAGAACTCTCAGAGGGCTACAACATTATAATCACTGGTCCATGACAGGAACACCGACAGAAACATAATTTGAAAATAAGATATCAAAGTGACAGAACATAAAATTTTAACAATAATTATATATATTTAATATAACTAAAAATAATATATTTTATTTTTTTGTGGTAATTTTTGTATAAAATATTTTATAAATCCATAAATTTTAATATTTTATGTAACATAAATATAATAATTATTAGATGTAGTAGGAGCCCATGGACGGTTAGAAAAAGAGCTTTGGAGAGAGAGAGCAAATGTGTCCATGGTCTCGTTCTTTCAACCCCATGATTACATCCATAGATGACAGTAACATATAGGATGCTACAAGCAATTCTTTGATCCGTGGCATCCACTAATAACTTAAGGTTTCTTATTCCGGCAATTTATCATTATCTAACTGTTTACGCATGTTGTGCTACTTGTTAGTTTAATGCACAGTAGATTAGTTGAAACTTGAAATACTAATAATAAGAACGTGAGGATTCACATGTAAAGGATATCGGGATTATTCCATCCACCTCATTTAGCAAAGACGAATTTATGATTTTTTTTTTTTGTTGAGGTTTCCACTTAAAATTTTAAGTTGTTTAAGAAAAATTTTTCATCAAATTTTTTTATTTTTTAATCTTGGGAAAGGTGTTCAAGAAAAAATTTTCATCAAAATTTCTTATTTTCTAATATTTGGGGTCTTCATTGGAAAATTTTAGAGTGTTCAGTAAAAAATTTTCTTTTATATTTTTATATTTTTCAATTTCAAGAGAGACCCTAGCTCACAAAATAAATCCACCTCTATCTTTAAAGCTGAATTCCAATAAGACTGAATTCGATTCTAACACTTAAATTTTTCTTCTCTTATTCCTTCTTACGCCTTAACTACTTATATAAAATATATATTTGTCAATAGCTTTGAGTTAATTTAATTTAGTTTGATTTAAATAGTCGCGTGATCAACTTTCTCTTCATTTGGAGCATCTTTCTGTTGATAAAGAAACCATCATGATGATCTTATATGCAATTATCTTATTAAATTAAGCTGTCCAAATAGTTGAAGATTCCCACTCCCAAAAGTTCAATTTGATAGGGCTAAATGGAAAACAAATTAAAATATATATATCTGAAAATGATTTATATTGTTACAATATTTTGGTGAGAAAGAAGGAAAATGGAAGGAAAGAAAAATATGAGGAAAGGAAAAAAAAAAGAATGACAGTAAGAAATATTATTATTTGTGTTTGGTATGTAAGGTGAAAAATAAGAAAAAAAAACAGAGGTTAGAGGTAAAATTGTAAATGAAATTATTAATTTAATTTGAACTTGGAAAGAAATTAAATATGTAAATTCATTCAATTTTTTTTTATTTCCCTCCTACAAAACATAAGGATGAAAAAAACAGGGGTTTTTCCTTTTATCCATTTTCCCTTTTTTTTTCTATTTTTTATTTTTATCAAATATAGTGATAATTTATTTTAGAATCCAATTAATGGGTGTCATAAACTTTGTTTAAGGATAGTTAAAATATTATTTTTTAAAAAATTTTTGTATTATTGATTATATTTTTATTTCCTTTAATATCATTGGTAGAGACATTTTATGATAAAAAATAAAACTGAGCTTTTATTATAGAAAGTGACTCAACAAAATAATGACAGTATTTCAATTATTTGAGTCCAATTAACATAGTAGATCAACCTGATTTATTGAAGGTTATCTCAAGTCTATCATCTCAATAGTTCACTTGACATACACATTCTTAAGTTGATGTGTCATTAAGATATTCAAACCAACATGTCACGTCAACTTAAAATTTGAGTCTCTAAATGGAATAATGTTGATCCGATCACATTTAATTTTTTTAATTTTTTTCTCTTTTAAGTATTAGTGTCACGGACTTAAAAAAAATCTTCAATCTCATATCAAATATAAAAGCAGGATCATTGAATTATAAAAGAGTTCATATTATTTTTATCTTGTGAGACATTTTTTATAGGATAAAATCGTAAGATCAAAAGATTAGAGTGGATAATATCTCATAAGAATGTGAATCGTGACAAATAAATTGATCCGAGACGTCGAATGAATTGATACTCGGATCTCAAAATCACACAGGTCAAAACTTAAGTCTTTGTGACACTAGCATGAGAATCGAAATACAAATATCAAAAATAAATACCAACTTTTGCTTTTGATTGATTTCCAATATTATAATTTCATATTCTTTAACTTTTATTCTAAACTTGGCGCAAACAATCAGCTAACATGTGTGTCTAGCACTGATTAATTTTTTCCTTCAATTGGGGTTTAGCTGATTCACACTTTAGATAGTGCTTGTTTCTTTGTTGAAATTAAGAAAAGCTTTACTTTTTCAAAAAAAAAATAAAAATTGAAAGCCTTTATGCAAGCTTGGCCTTTTCATCATTATGGAACTCCTTTTTGTAGCCAATATATTGAGACAATTAAACACAAATATGGTGATTACTTTCACCTTTTGTCATCTTTCGATGCTTTGGTAGGGCCACTCTCATTCTTTTGATAAATCCGTAAAATAAAAAAATAGTATTTTTTTTCTATTTTCTTCTAGACAGAAGAATTTTCAAAATGAGGGAAATGAAGTTGCCAAGATTTGCATTTACTTAAAATAAATTAATTTTAGTTTCAATTTCAAGTTCCCATTTGCATCATTGCATGTTTTCTCACAAGAGAAAGGTTAAAGCTTAAGATGAAGTTATCTCCACACCATTTGCAAGAAATCAAATTATATATCATATATCATATATATATATATATATATATATATTATAATATACATAATTATCATATAGCATTTGTTGATATGAACGTCTACTTGAACAGTTTATTTTTTTTATACATAAGATAATTTTTAAAATTTTTATTATGATGATATATAAGATATTTATTAATTTTAAATTATTTATAAAAAATATATATTTTAAAAATTTTTAAATTTTTATAATTTTAAAATTTAATCAAAAATTAATTTAAATTCCAATGAAATTTTTTTCGTTTGTATATCCCTTCATCTCAATTTAAAATCAATTTTAAAATAATTTATCTTTTTTGATTTGTCTGTACTTAAGATGATTATTTAAATTTATCATAACTTTTAAAAATATTATTTAATATCTTTAATATTTTTTTATAAATAATCCTTACATTATCTTTAGCTTTTAAATATATTAGTTATAGATAAAGATAATTTTAATAAACAATCCATCCATTTTAAAAAATATATTTAGATATATTTGAATTAAAATAAATTTTAAATTTAAATCAATATTTGTCATAGACTTTTAATATTAATATTTTTAAAAAATATGAAAAAATATATATAAATACCCAAACAACTTCAAGAAAGCCCTCATTGTTGGTAGTTCTTAATTATATAATTTTCCTAATATTCCAGAAAACATATGAGCTAAACATATTTTCTCTACTATTAATTTAATCTCTTGTTTTATTAGTTTATTTTTGCTAATTGCTATAAAAACTAACATTTTTTTTTATGATAGGTAATATTTCACTAAACATACTATTCATTCTATTAAGTAGATTTTTTTTTCAAATCAACTATAACATTTCTTTTTTATATTTTCAATTCATAATAAACTTAATTAGAACACACTTAAACTAATATCTTTTTTATTATGATTTAAAAACAAATAAGAAAATAAACTTAATAAATTTGCTTCATTTATTTATGTAGATGAAATCACAGCGCACAATTAAATAACAGTAAAAAGAAAATATGTGTTAAATAACTTTTAAACTCTAATGAGTCATATTGGTCACTTTGATGAAATTTTTCAAGTCTATAATTATTAAGTAATTATCTGATTAGATATTTTTCTTTAGAGAATAAAAGTCTAAAACACCAAAAATTAAATATTATTATTTGATTAAATATTATCCATAGATAAAATTATTATTTAAATATATTTATGGATTAAAGTTTATTAAGATTTAAATGAAAAATTAATTTAAATATAAGATAATTAAATAGATAAAAATATTATTTAAATATATTTATGAATTAAATAAAATTATATAACTTGATTCTTTACTAACTTCTCATTCCACTTATTTTCCAAACAATATTCTATATTCTCACAGATTTTAGTATTATTTTTTTATTGCTCTTCCATTTAAGATAGATTTATTTTTTATTTTCTATTTAGTTTAGGTAAGCTTTTTTAGTTTAATTTTGACTTTTTTC